TGATTTCACTCATATGTGGAATATAAACAAATACATGGACTAAGAAAACAGTTCAGTGGTTACCAGCAGAAGGGAGGTGGGGAGTGGGCACAGGGGGTGAAGGGGAGCACTTATGTGGTGACGGACAAGAAATAATGTACAACTGAAATTTCACAGTGATCTAAACTGTTATGAATGCAATAAAAAAACCAAACCAAACAAACAAAAAAACTTGAAACAACACTAATTTCACTTCTGTAATTTTTGGGTTGAGATTTATAAATGAGTAACATTATTATGTTTTTGTAGGTATTGACAATTTCATTTTTAAAAAGCCACATGTGAGAAGTTGATTTATGACGCTTTTAATAGATAACTTTCTAGCAATCGGGCTATTTCACAAGAAAATAAAACCTCACAACATCACCAAAAAATAGTGACAAACAATTGTGACATGTGACATATACTTCCCCAATTATCTGTCACTGGGATGGTTGAGAGCTGCACAAGGAGGTATTTTCCCACAGGTGGCTTGTTGATGGCTTTGATGCTCCATCTCCAGGGGACCATGACTGTTTTGACTGGCATTGACTTAATGCCTTCAGCTCCTGAGAATGATGAGTTGGAAAAAGTGTTTACAAAGCACACTTAGCAGTTTTTTCAGCATCCAGTATATTATTCAAAATCCATTTGTTAAGGTACATGGAAGCATGTCATCATTTTGAATATCAAATACTTTTGTTAACAACAACAAAGTCCTTGTTAGAGATCAAATGATAAATACTGGCTATGTCTTACTCTCACACCTGAAACAGTCATCTTCCTTCCTAGAGGGCTTTCATGGTGTCAATAGAAGTCACATTACTTGTGGGTAGCCTTCAATGGTGGCCCATATGAGAAATACTGGCTACTGCAGCTAAGTTTTTGGCCCAGTGAGCACTCTCCCAGAAGCGTCCATGTTTACAGATGGTCCTATAGACTGGTTATGAAATGAGGGAGGGTAGTTCACCCCTTTTCCTCTCAGGATGATGGCCCTTTCCACTCTAGGTCTTGAGCAATGACTCAACCTGAAGTCCAGGACCTGCTCTGAAAAGAATCAAATGATGTGGAGCATCTATTTCCTGGATTGAAATTTCAAGGTCTTTCTTGCATTTTGTTCTTTTGCCTTTATTTATCTCCTCTTGGAAGTCCATGGACATTGAAGTTCAGAAAATGAGACTCTTTTAAGAAAAGAGTAAAAGAAAAAGAAATAATGCCTCTATTTCAGAAGGACTTCAACCTAGTTCTTTGAAGATAGGAAGAGAAGGTAGAACAAGTTTTACTTGGTAATCACAGATTAAATTCTGGAGATTGTTAACATTAGTTGCTACTCTCCAGGTGGCTCCTTTCAGTAATGAATATGGACATCTTGTATTGCTACCAGCTCTTAGTTAATATCAGACCTTATATTGGTTCCCCTACAGTGAACCCCGCATATGGGTTAAAACTAAAGGCACACATTCCCAGTTCCCTGGTTCTTTAGTTTCACTCATATGTAAGTGTTGGTTTCTTTAACCTCTGACTGCCTGAGCTATAGAGCCAAATAGAAGTTACAAATTGTTAAAGTCCAGATGGCCTCACGCTGGGCTCCCACTAAAGTTGTGGTTAATCACAGGACCTTGAAGTTCTTTTACACAGAAACTAATGTCCAGAGAATATCAAGAAACCGAAGCTTCCCAGGCCCAACTCCTCGGCTTCCTGATGTCAGAGTCTACCTTCCACCATGGAGATAAACAGCCAAGGACACTCATCTGAGAAATCCTTTGTCTCCTCTGCTGGAAGCAGCCCCAGACACAGGCCAATGGGAAAATGCTGACCAGGAAGGCCACAGCCCCCACTCCCCTGAATAAAACCCCAAATAAAAGCCCCTATCCGTTTCTTAACAGGGAGCTAGCAACTTTTGGGTCACTGGCCCATGCTTTGCTCCCTCTGCCTGGCAAAGTAAAGCCTTTCCCTTTTCACCCAAGACTCTGTTCTCATTATTTGGATTAGCATCAGGATCAGCGACCGAACTTTCGGTAAAAGTATCAGTCATTTATCATGTATACATTATCTTAGTTATTGTTCTGGACTCTCTTGTGAGATCAGCATTATTATCCCCCTCATTTTATGGATGAGGGAGTTAAAATTTGTAAGGTTAGTTATTTGCTCAAGGATAAGCAGGTAGTAGATGGCAGAGGCTTAGAACTACAACCTGAACTTAACTATTCTACTGGTAGTCTTACTATTCCTTGTCTATAGACTATGTACTTTCTCTCTTGTGGTTATTTTGTTGTTATTGCTGCTACTTTTGTTGTTAAATAGTTCAATTTTTTTAAAGGTTCACCAAATTGTCTGCTCCGAGCATGCTCTTAATTACCGATTCCTCAGAATTTCGTTTTCCGTTGATTTTTAGTCTCTGGTTTTTTACATGTATCTCTGTCTAGCCTTTTCAACTCAACTTAGGTTACCTTGCTCTCCTGTTGAGCAAAAGAAATTCTCTCTGCTAAAAAACCAGCCGATAATATGGAGGATGTTGTTTTATCGTTCATGTAATAGAAATGAGAGAGGCAGCTTTCTGGGCCTTAGCATACCAATAGTTGGTGAATTAGAAACAATTTGTTTCATGTATAGGTAATAAAGGACTCAATTAGAGAGATGTTCTACAATTTAGATTTACAAGCTAGCACTTATTAAGTAGACAAAGATTTTAAGTTGGTAGAAACCTCAGTGAACATTCTTCAATACAAAAAATTTTTATCTCAAGTTTAGGAAAAGGAAGGAAGTAAAAAACAATTCAACAAAACACTCTTAAACCATTTTAGAAATGTAAGCATAAGGAAGAAAGTATATGAGATTGAAAAGCTCAAAAGGAAGGATGTTCAATAGCAAAATTGATTTATACGTCTGGTAATAAACTATCCCATTCAAAATACAAAAAGTAGAAACTCATTCTAAAACTTCCAAATGGAGGTTCACAATGCATCTTGGCAAATTAAAAACTCTGAGGAGAGCTGTGGTGAGGAACCTGTTTACCATGGTTTAACACACGATTTCTTAAACCTATGGGATCAGAGAAGCATGTCCCCCGTACTTCAAGTTAGCACACACGGAGAGAACTCCTGGCCTCTGAGAATAGCCTCCACATATCATATGCTAGTTCTTGATCAGTCATGAAAAAAATCTTTGTGCCGCTTGTAATTGAACAGATCAAGGATCTGGAAACACAGAGCGTGGTCGTGGATATTATAGTAACCACACTAAGTTCTCGACGTTTAGTAGCACAAAACAGCTCAGATTTTGTATATATTTTTTAAAAATTTTATTTTTTTCCTTTTTCTCCCCAAAGCCCCCCAGTACATAGTTGTATATTCTTCGTTGTGGGTCCTTCCAGTTGTGGCATGTGGGACGCTGCCTCAGCGTGGTTTGATGAGCAGTGCCATGTCCGCGCCCAGGATTCGAACCAAGGAAACACTGGGCCACCTGCAGCGGAGCGCGCAAACTTAACCACTTGGCCACGGGGCCAGCCCCCCTTTTTTTTTTTTAACAGATATGTTTATACCATTGAAAATTCAGAAGATACAAAAATATATACAGTGAAAGTTGTCTTCTACTTCTGTTTCCCAGCCACCCAATTTATTTCTCTGGAAGAAAACAATGTTATTAGTTTCTTATTAAATTCTTCTGGAGAGAATTTATGTATCTGCAAGCACACATGTTAAAGTATTTTTAAAAACTCTTTTAAATACAAATGATAGTATACTAACGGCTCTGCTTTTTAAACATTTTTTTTTTTTCCCTAATGGTACATTTGGAAGCCTTTCCCTATACACATATAAACATATTTATGTTTCCTCTTTCTTTCTTTCCTCTTCTCCTCTCTCCATTCTTTCCTTCCTTCTTTGTATGGATGTCTATCGATACACATTTCAATTTTATTATTCTTTCCTATTATAAACAGTATTACAACAAATAACTTGAACATATGTCAATTTTTATATGCTCAAGTATATCTGTAAGATAAATTCCCCCCAAGGAAAGTTGCTGAGTAAAAGGATATACTCTCATAATTTTTGTAGGTGTTACTAAACTGCACTTGACGAAGTAGCAGTTAACATTTCCGTCAATTGATGAGATTGCCTGGTCCCCAAAATCATGTACAGTGTGTTACCAAACTTTTGATCTTTGCTAATCTGATAGGTGAAAAATTACATCTGAAAGTAGTCTTAGTTTTTCTCTTGTTATAAACCAGGCTGAGCATCTTTAAAAATTTTTTTTTTTTAAGGTTTGGAAAACAAAATTGGAAATAAACATCAAGATGTTAAGTAAAAACAAAAGGTTCCAAAAAATTTATATTCAGTTTGAGCCCATACACATTTAGAAAATGTTAACAAAAGTTGTCTCTGCGGGGCCGGCCCAGTGGCACAGTGGTTGTTTGTACGTTCCACTTCGGCAGCCCAGGGTTCGCCGGTTGGGATCTTGGGTTCGGACATGGCACCACTCATCAGGCCATGCTGAGGTGGCATCCCACATGGCACAACCAGACAGACCCACAACTATAATATACAACTAGGTACTGGGGGGCTTTGGGGAGAAGAAGCAGAAAAGAAACAAAAATTAGTAACAGATGTTAGCTCACGTGTCAATCTTAAAAAAATTTTTTTCTAAGTTCCAGCACGAGAAATTCTGACTTGATCTAGGATCAGGCCTGGGCACTGGTATTTTCAAAAGTCTTCCTTAGAAGGCTGGTCCTGGTGGCCTAGTGGTTAAGTTCAGCATGCTCCACTTTGGCAGCCTGGGTTCAGTTCCTGGGCACAGACCTATACCACTCTGTTAGTGGCCGTGCTGGGCTGATGGCCCACATACTAAAGAATAGAGTAAGACTGGCATGGATATTAGCTCAGGGTGAATCTTCCTCAGCAAAAGGAAAAAGGAAGAAAGAAAGAAAGAGAATCTTCCTTAGAGATTCTAATGTACAGCCAATGTCTAGAATCACTGCTTTCGACAGAACAAAGAGAGGTAGAAAAAGAAGGATCAGGTAAAGAATATGTCAAGCATCACTAAGATTGTGCCATGAAGTAAAAGACAGAAATGAATATCAACCTCTTATACAAAAAAACCACATCAGGTAAAAAGATCAAATCAGGTTTGGGGTAGAAAGGAGGCAGGAAGAGAAACCCCCCTCCCCCCACCAGGTGAGGGAAAAGCAGAGCTGGTTGGGTTAGGTGTTGTGGTATTATCTGAGTGTTAGTCATAGAGTCTAGTCTTTTAGGTAAAGATGAACTCGAGCCTGAAGCCTCTTCAAGGCTCTTCTCAACCCAGGGTTGTCCTGAATCAGTAGAATGGAGTGACCAGCAGGGTAGGCCGCCATGATGATTTTGCACGAAATGTTCCAGGAACTGTTGATGTCAAAGATGTTGGACATATAGAGAAACAGAGCAATTGCATTGAAAACGTAGAGAATGAGAAAGTAGCTGGTAGCTTTGATGGCCCCCATGTGAGCCTCCATGCTGGGGTCCCTGAAGCCAGTGGCATTACTTTCCATGTGTAGGGTGTGTTTCTTGAGAGAGATGATCAGCAGGGTGGCTGCAAGGATGAACATGATCAGAGGAATGAGGATCCCCAGGTAATAGAAAAGAACCAGATTGAACACATTTGTCTCAGTGAAGTATTTTTTCTCAGTGGAGTTGGAGGAGGGGATAGGAAAAGAATTGTTAGAATACACGGTGTAGATGTCTTTGAAGAAGACCACACTGTTGCCCAAGGAAATAAGCATTGATAGCCATAAAAGCCAGGGCATCAATCCAGAAATTCTCCACTTCAGCTTGAGGAAAACGGGGTAGGAGAAATCAGCAATCTTCACAAAGTAGAAGAAACTGAGCCAGGCAGCAAACCAGAGGCTACAATAATTTAAGAACATGAAACTTACTTTGAATGTGTCATATACAACATCTTCATTATAAAAACTTGGGGATGTTGAGCTGAAGGTAAGTTCTAGCATCAGGAAGCTTTGGAGAGCTATTCGGGATACGCTCAGGAAAAGCAGGATCCTGCCACTTGTGGAAACTGCCTTATTCTGAATCCATTCAGCTGCATTTATAGCCACGATGAATCCATTTGCAAAGATACCAATGATGCATTCAGCGCCTATAATTGTGAAAACTAAGGTGATCCAAAAAGGTGACAATTTATTTTCTGGGGAACCGCAGGTTTTCATCATGCTGAGTTATTACTCCTCTTTGGTGTCTGGAGGAAAATTTCTCCCTAGAATTTGATGGGCAGATCCCTGAAAGCTTCCACTATTTGTGTCACAGGAGGAAGCAGTCGATGCATCATTTCCAAATTCAGTTCATTTGTTTATCTCAGAATTCTTAGCTCTAAATCTGGAGATGCAAATGATGGAAGCATTTGGTTCCCAGTGCTCTCTCCGTTCTTTTGGGCATGTTGGTATTAGTTTAGTCACTGGGCCCAAGGAAGGACTTGAGTAGACTTTCTTTTATAAACCACTAGCATGGTATTGAGAGTGCTATTCTTTACTAGTTCCAGTTAATTCAAACATCTGCCCACCAATCAACATTTAACTTAGTTTCACTTGTGACCTCAGGGAACTGATTGAAAATAATAATAACTTTAAAGATATATACAGTTCTTATTATGTGCTAGGCACTGTTCAAACACTTTATTACCATGTTTAAGCCTCACAACAACCCAGTGAAGAGTGTACTTTTATTATCTTTATGTTACAGATGAGGAAACTGAGGCTAAATAACTTATCCAGTCACACATCCATAGAGAGATAGAGCTGAGATTCAACCACAAGTCACCTGGTCCCCGAATCCCTTTTCTTACCTACTATGTTTATTACCAAGGCCTGTAGATCCTTTGCATGTGCCAAAGACTAAATGCAAGGTTGACAAGGTAACATTTTTTTCTTGGTAGTCTTTTATGATGTCCTCACCATTTAAGGGAAGAATACTTGAGTTGGAAAAACCCCCCAATTTTCCACCTGTGAGACTTTCTTTACTACTCACACAGAACACTTCACTTCTGACACTTCTGGTCACCAAATGAGTGGGTTTTTTTCCCCCCACACCAAGCAGTTCTATGACACCAGCTGGGTGTCCTACAGTTTAACTGAATTCTGACATTGTCTACCTGGAGATAGCATCAGATCTCAGAGGCTAAGGGCTCAGTCCCACAAGACTGTCCCCACCCCATGTCAGATGCTAATTGCTAGTCCAGGTTGTCTTATGCTCCTGACCGATCAGTTATAAATCAGAGATTCCCATGATCCCCTTCCTCGGGTTTGATTAATTTGCTGGAGTGGCTCAGAACTCAAGAAAACATTTTACTTAGGCTTACCAGTTTATTATAATAAGATGTGATAAAAGATACAGATGAACATCCAGATGGAAGAGATGCATAGGGCAAGGTGTATAGGAAAGGGTGCAAACCTTCCATGCCCTCTCCCAGTGTGCCGCTCTCCCAGCACCTCCATGTGTTCAGCAACCTGGAAGCTCTCCAAATCCAGTCTTTCTGGGTTCTTATGGAGGCTTCATCACATAGGCATGATTGATTAAATCATTGGCCATTGATGATGGAACTCAATCTCTAGCCCCTCTCCTGTCTCTAGAGGTGGGGGTTGATGGTGGGTGGGACTGATAGTTCCAACCCTGTAATCACATGATTGCTTCTCCTGGCAACCAGCCCCCATCCTTAGACGCCCTACAAAAGTCATCTTATTAACATGACAAAATACACCTTTCAAACTCTTATCACTTAGGAAATTCCAAGGGTTTTAGGAGCTCTTCCAGAAACAGGGACAAGGACCAAACATACATTTATTATAAATCAGAATAATAAAGGAGAAAGACACCAATTTTCAAGACATAGACCTTCTTAGTAAAATAAATTACTTGAGAGATAATAAATTTCTTTAGGTATATATACAATAAATGATTACACACTCAAATTTACCTTTTATTTTAAATAAGACACCAGGAAAATAAGGGTTGAAGAAAAAGTTCTCCCTTCCTTTGTGAGGTAGGCTAACCAACCTTATGTTAAAAACAACACTGCAAGTCACCCTGTCTATTTTGGAATATTAGAACCAAAAGAAATGAAGAAAAGAATCACTTTTATCTTGGGGGAGTGGTTTCTGATTTTAAAATGTAAGCATAGGACACATAATGATAAATGAATTTCTCAATTCAGAGTATATTAATCTTTATGAATGTACATAGTTCTAAAATAATGGTAATGAAGGAATTCTGATAATGAGAAGGTTGATGAGTGAGATGTCTTCAAAAATCTTCACATCATCTGGTTTCTCCTTTACTTAATGCTTCTTATAAACAAGGCAAAAGCCTTCGAAGGTTTTCTGGCCTGATTAATTGTTTTAGACAAGTTGTTATGAATTTTATCATCTCATCTTTGAATTTCTATTCCTAAACTCTAAATATTTTCCCTTGAGCACAGTGTAGTAAATAACTGCTGCCCTCTGGTTGTTTCCACCTGCTTGTAAAATGTGAAAATAAGTAAACAGAAACCCATTCAAAATGGAGTTGGGAGGCCAGAAGGGGGAGCTCTCGTGCCCTAGAAGATGGCAGAGCCCAACAGGGAGAACAAAGACTTCCTTTTCTTGCCCAGCAAGAGCTCAGCCAATGAGGGACTGTCACAACCTGGACAATGAAAAGCCTTCACAAATTGGAACTCTTAATTCCTCCCTTGGACCCTTTGTTTACAGTAGCTCTCCCAACATCCTCTTCCTCTTTATAATAAAGTGTTTCTCCTCCCCTTGTTGCTCAGAACTTGCATGGGACTTTCCTTGGGTGCAGAGCCCAAATTGCAGTTCTTTATTGATCCTGAATGAATTTGCTGGAGAAATACCTGGCCATCTATTTGTTTAAGGTCAACAAGTAGGCCTGGAGTATCTCAGGACCTCTTATTTGGTTTTAGAGAGGCTTTTTCTTGTCACTGGCTCACCCCTTCTGCTGATCAAGGCTTCCAAGAGTGTGAGGGGAAATGGGACATGGTCCCTTTAGGGTCTGACTCCTCTTTCTTTGTTCTGCTCATCACTGTACCCCACCTCCTAGCATAGTGCCTGATCCCCAGGAGGCAGTACACAGACACCTGTTGGTTAATGACTGACCTTACCAATGACTCTCAGCTCAGAGAAGTTCTTTACAATGAGAGGCATGCAGAGAAATGGCAGTTCCGTCACCCTATAAATCTTGAACTTTTGCAAGTCCAATGCGCAAATAAAGTGTGGGAGCATCAACAGTGAAGTTGAGTGAGAGCACAGCAGTTCTTTGTGGAAAACATCTGTGAGGGAAACACTGTTGAGAGACAGAGAGGACAGAGGAAGGAGATGCAGGACCAGATGACCTCAGCCAGGGACTGGGCTTCACAATGTTGGAGTTCTGCAGAGAGGCAGTGGGCAGGAGCAGGGGCCATGGCCATCCTCAAGGCACTTTAGAAGAGGCTCTGCTTGTCACAGCTTGTGGCAGAGTTGCTTCCTGCAAAGGAAAGAAGAATATTGTTGATGGTAATTCCCGGAGGTGGTCTGAAGTGGGATGAAGTAATCTTTCTAGGTGAAAAGATGATTTTTTTATTGAAGTATAGTTGATAGACAATATTGTATTAGTTTCAGGTCTATAACATAATGGTTTGACATTTACATACATTACAAAATGATCACCCTGATAAGACTAGTAACTATCTGTCACCATACAAAGTTATTACAATACTGTTGACTATATTTTCTATGCTGTACAATATATCTCCATGACATTTATTTTATGACTAGAAGTTTGTACTCTTAATTCTCTTCCCTTAATTCTCTTACCTCTTAATTTGCTCTTTTGCGTACCCCTTTCCCCTCTGGAAACTACCAGTTTGTTCTCTGTATCAATGAACGTTTCTTTTTTGTTTTCTTTGTTCATTTGTTTTGTTTTTTTAGGTTCCACATATAGGTGAAATCATACTGTATTCTTCTTTCTCTGTTTTATTTCACTTAGCATAATACCTTCTAGATCCATCCATGTTGTCACAAATGGCAGGATTTCATTCTTTTTTATGGCTGAGTAATATTCCGTTGTGTGTATATATCACATTTCCCTTGTCAGATATGACCTTCTTAAAGTAGAACTGGTAGACCAATACCTAAATGGCATATCCAATTTCCTAAATATATCTTGGATGTATTCAAGTGTGTTTCTAACCAAGGAAAACTCATGAAGACTCTTGAGTCATTAAGGACAGAGAGAATGACTTAAACAAGTCCAGTTTATTTGGTTATATGTTTAGCTTGTTGTTTTGAAATAGTTTTTGACATACAGGTGCATTGTAAAGATGGTACAGAGAATTCCCATGTATAGTCATGTGTCGATTAACGATGGGGATGCATCCTGAGAAATGTGTTGATAGGCGATTTTGTCATTGTGTGAACATCATAGAGTATACTTACACAAACCTAGATGGTATAGCTTACTACACACCTAGGCTCTATGAGACTAATCTTATGGGACCACTGTTTTATATGTGGTCTGTCATTGACTGAAATGTCATTATGTGACACGTGACTGTACCCTTCACCCAGCTTCCCCGATTGCTCACATCTTACCCAACCATGGTAAAATGATCAAAACTAAGAAATTATCAATGTTACAATACTGTGAACTAAACTGTAGGCTTTATAGGGAATTTTCCAGTTTTTCCACAAACATTCTTTTCTTGCTCCAAGATCCAATCTGGAATATTGCATTGCATTTAATCATTATGGTTCCTTAGTCTCCTCTAATCTGTAACAGATTCTTGGTCTTTCCCTTTCTTTAATGACCTTGACGGTTTTGAAGAGTACTGGTCAGATATTTTGTAATTCCTTCATTTGGATTTGTCTCCTGTATTCTTATGGTTAGACTGGGGTTATGGAATTTGGGGAAGAATACCACAGAGGTGACGTGCCTTTCTCATTGCAGGGGGTACACGCTATCAATGTCCTATTACTGGTGACATTAAAGTTGATCACTTGGTTAAGATGATATCTGCCAGTTTTCTGCATCATAAAATTAATCTTTTTTTTCCCCCTTTTATACTCTATTCATTAAAAGTGAGTCACTAAGTCTGGCTCATACTCAAGGGAAGAGAAATTAAACTTTGCTTCCTGGAGGGACAAATCTCAAAGAATTTGTGGACATATTTTAAAACCCCACAGTAATA